TTTTAATTCAGCTCAAAATATTTTCTAATTTCTCTTCGGATTTCTTTTTTGATCCATGGGTTATTTAGAACTATATTATTTAGTTGCCAAATATTTGGAGGTTTTCCAGATATCTTTTTGTTACTGACTTCTAATTCATTTCCGTTGCAGTCAGAAAATATACTTTGAATCTCCTCAGGTTTAATTGAAACTTGTTTTATGGCTCAGAATATGGGCTATCTTGGTCAGTGTTCTGAACGCACTTGAAAAGAATGTGTACTCTACTGCTGTTTGGTGGAGTGTTTTTTAAATGCCACTAGTTAAGCCAAGTTAGTTGATAGTATTGTTCAAATATTCAAATCTCTGACTATAACTGGGGACTCGTTTATTTATTCTCACAGTTCTATCAGCTTTTCTTCATGCATTTTGAGGATGTGCTATCAGGTGCATAAATATTTAGCCTTGTTATGTACTCTTGATGAGTTGACCCCTTTATCATAATGAAATGACCTTCCTTGTCCCTGGTAATATTCATTGCTCTGACATATACTTTGATATTAATTTAGCCACTCTACATTTCTTTTTATTAGTGTTAGTATGTCATACCATTTTTCATTGTTTTACTTTTAATCTATTTATATCTTTATATTTAAAGGAGATTTCTTGTAGGCAGCATAAAATGGAGTCTTGCTATTTTTATTGAATTAGACAATCTTTACCTTTTATTTGGATGCTTAGATCATTTACATTTAATGTAATTACTGAAATAGTTAGGTTTAAATTTACCATCTTACTGTTTATTTCTATCAGATTTGCCTCTTCTCATCTTATTTCCTTTCCCTTTTTTTCTTCCTTCTTTTAGATTAATTTAATATTTTTAATCATCTATTTTATCTCCTTCGTTGGCTTATTAGCTATAACTCCTTGTTGTATTATTTTAGTCATTTCTTTTCAGTTTACAGTATACATCTTTAACATACACAGCCTAACTTAAGGTCACATTATACTACTTGTACTATATATAGTATAAGAACCTTACAACAATTCTGGTTTCATATCTTACCAATGAATAACCCCAATAAAATGAGAATGTCCCTTTCTCAGTATCAATTTTTCAATCCCAAGGGGGTCTTTAAGTGGCCCTGCTTGGGTTACATACTCATCCCTAAATAGACAACAGTGGACAGGGGCATGAGTATTTTGGTCAGCCTGAATTCCTCTAGCAGGCCTTCTAGAACTTCATGGAATTGGGAGGGAGTCACCAAAAGAACCCAAGAAGAGGAATGCAAAAGTACACTAGTTAGACAAAAACTACAGCTATCATAGACCACTACAGGCAAACATATCATAGAAAGAGTTTACAGATTGGCAGGTAGAGAATTTGCACACACTTGTTTTAAATTCCCAATATATCTTGCCAACAATACTGAACTTGGCCACACAAAGCAGGAGCAAATGAAGCATTTCTTTGTATGACATTTTCCTTCCCCTAGTACCCTCTAGGGCACTCAGCTGCCAGTGACACTTCTACATATCTGATTCCTGTCAAGCTGAAAAAGAAGCAAAATACTCCACCACCCTTTTATATTTGACTTTTATCAGCATTCTAGAAAAATTTTTACTAACAATCTAAGCACTTCTGTCTAAGAGTTTCTCAACCTTGGCACTTTTGACATATTGGACTAGATAATTCTTTGCAGTCAGGGGCTTCCCTGTGCATTATAGGATGCTTAGCCAACATCCCTGCACCCACTAGATGTCACCCACTACCCACTAGATGTCAGTAACACACCTGCCTCCCCAGTTGTGTCAATCAAAAATTCCTCCAGATAGTGTCAGTGTCCCCCCGGGGAAGCAGAATTGCTCCTGGCTGAGGACCACTAATTTAAGGGAATGTTTACAAACATCAGGATCTACAGGTTCTTGACCCCAAATCAGCATCAGCAGATGGGGAGAAAGCAGAATTAGCATTAGGCGTCATGAACTCCTGTTCCATATCCCACCAAGCCCATCTCTCCTCAAGGAACCATGTCTTTTGTTCACCACTGCAGAATCCAGCTTCTGGAGCTCCCAGATTCTGGAAAAGAGCAATGCTCAACAGAACTACAACCACAACCAGTGTTGAAAGAATAAGTGAATGAAGGAATGAATGGATGGGTGAATGAATGAAAAGAAAAATCTGGATGGTTATTCACTGTTACTCTAGAGAAAGGAGTGACATAGGTGGTATGTACATGAGAAAAGGGAATATTTTACTATTTTACTTAAAATTTTCTGTATTTGAATTTTATCATTTTTACTTTCATAATTTAGAAAAGTTTAAATGATTTATTTTTAAAGCAGTTGGAAATCAAACCAAGCGTTTTCTCTTTGATAACTCTTTCTCTTTTTTCTTTTTTTTTTTTGTGAGGAAGATCAGCCCCGATCTAACATCTGTGCTAATCCTCCTCTTTTTCCTGAGGAAGACCGGCTCTGAGCTAACATCTATTGCCAATCCTCCTCCCTTTTTTTTTTTTTT